GATGTCATGCTTGGAGATGTCATGTGAGCCAGAGCGTTCAAACTTTACATTCTCTAGTATGTTTTCAAATCTACAAACACAAATTACCTTAGTCGCAACGCCGCCCATGAGGCCTAGTCGCCTCAAGTGTGCGCTTGGAGAAACAAGATATGCTCCCGTACACACCTTTGATACAGATCAATATCTGCAGCTTTCAGCCGTCGATTCTGTCAAAATTCACATAACAGTTTATGGCGACGACTAGCCGACTGCAAACAGTCGTCTGTGTACTGGCTTCAAGTGTTTAGCCGCCAATTTTATTCCAGCGGCGCCAGATCAATATAATTCATAAAGCGATCGAAGTTACCCCTATGATTTATTGGCCTCTCTGATAAAAGTTATGGAATATAAGGTTGCGAAATAACTTTGTATAGAATTTCATTCGACTGTTTACCTCTGACCTCTTTTACATAATGTTCTTCTTTGTCTTCTGTTCTCTACTTCTGGGTGCCTAGCAGCATTCGGGCAGGAAGAGATCTCTGGAACTGGCCCTTCTGTTCGCTTGGTCTAAAGTATTTTTCAGTGTCTCTGATATTTTTGCGGTCCATCTTCTGCATGGTGGCCCACTGGCTCTGTTACGCTGCATTTGTATAACACTGCTCTGTGTAGTTCCCCGTCCAATATTTGCACATGGCCAAACCATTTGATTTGTTGTCTACCTATAAATTATAGTATTATTTATGTGCCGACTCTCCCCCTAAAATCATCGTTCCTAAGTCGATCTTTCCTGATTTTACCTAGCATAGCACGTGAACACTTAATTTCTCTCATGACTATTTTCTTTTTTTTTTCTGAAGACATTGTCCATGTTTGACACTGATAGCACAGCGTTGGTAAGAATATTGTGTTGAACCGTGTTTTTTCAGTGTTCATAATCAAATGCTTGCATTTCGGAAATTGATGCCATGTTGTACTTACTGATTTCCCCGTCAATAAACACCAACCAGCATTGTGTATACCCGTTTATCTAGTAATCAGTTTGTAAGTCTAACTCTTTACCTAGCTATAGCTGTCTCTGAGTCTGTCCGTCTGTTTGTCTACCCACCCCATCTCTCTTTCTCTCTTATTCGTAGCTGTACATAATGTCTTTGTTTATACGATTTTGTTTGCTTTGCGGAAAAAAATAGTCATGTTCAGTCAGCTTCCCCGAAGGAGGAGCTTTAGGTTATAATTGTGGATAGGTTATGTGCGCCACATAAAATTGCCTGGCGTTGCAAGCCAACAAATAGCCATAAAAAAAGACTTGCGATGTTGATGTGATCAAAGGTGACCCAGTAACTGTCCCGAGCGGCGATGGAGTCGTCCTTCCAGCAGCCAATGGCCAACACGGTCTGCGTTGCTTTATAAGGTTTTCCGGGAAATTCATATTAATTCCCCAGGCTCGTGAAAAAGGATTGATTTAAAAAAAGAAATATGTCCTCAGTATTTCTCAGAGGTTTGATATTTTAAAATATCAATGGCGGCGAAATGTGGCATCTGCTGCGATCCTGTCAAAGTCTGGGCTACACAAAGCCACGTTCTTGTTGGTCCATGTTCTAACAGTTTTGCGATCTTCTTCTCTCTACTCCTGGAATGTCTCGCAGCATCCAGGCAAACAGATATCTCTTGAACGGGTCATTCTGTGCGCCTCGTTAAAAAAAAAGTACATTTCAATGTCCTTGTTGTTTCCGCGGTACATGTTCTGTGTGGTCAATTTCTGACTGTTACCGCGGCAGCTAAAGATTGCTCTCTGTTGTGTCTTACTTAGAGATGCAGTACAAACAATACCAGGCTCTCCCAGCTATTCAAATCAGTTTACTCATCGGCCGAAATGCTGAAAGAATGAGATTATATCAGGCCAGAGGTCAGTGATTCGCGGGCCGCTTGTTAGGCCTCTGAGGGCTGATTCTCCCGCGGGTCGCCAGCTGAAAAGCTGTTTCTTCAAAGTGTCTCACAGTACACTGAGAACAAACAAATAACTTAATAATATCCTGAGATAGAGACACACACATAAAGCAACGTAGATACAGTAGTTTAGAAGACCGATATATTTGTAAGATCTAGCGGTTATAAGGTGAACCAGACCGTTAGCACCGACAATCACGCTAGAAAATTACATTTCAAGCGTACATATTTCATGTGACGAGTAAGTCTATATATGGAAGCCATGATTCTCACATTTGATTTTCTGGTTAAAAAAACAAAAGTTGGTGGGTGCATCCGAGCATAGAATATGTGAATATTTTTTCACAACTCGAAGCATTCCCTTAAGCGGTCCGTCTCATCTTCAGCAGCCAGTTCAGAGCTCCATAACCAATGGTGCCAGTAGCATTCTGATTACATGTCCGTCTTGCCTTTCCTCTGGTGTATGTTGCATAGGGGGACATAGGCATCCGAGAAAGGCTTAGCTGGGGCATTGGTATTTAGCTGGACTCGTAGCAACAAAATGCCACAGGCCGTGTTGTGTGGAGTGGTACGTCACCAAGGGAATGAGAGTCAAGGAAGAAATTACTGCAAAAAAGGATAAGAGCTGAGTGTCAGAAAAGAAACACACTAGACACAAATGTTGATAACAATGGTCCTGAAATTCAATGTTATAATTGTGGAAGACATTATCTTAACCCAAGTGGGCCTTGCTAGTCACACTCGCCGTCGCCATGGGCTGTGAGTCCCATGCCTCCTCATGGCGCAGTTTAACACTATAGTCTGTACAGAGGGAACGGTGCGAGTCGGGTGGTGTATGGCAGAAAAGAGGTTGCAAACAACTGATCTAGACAGATCTGATGGGCACAGTCAGTTTACAATACCAAGCTCGTCGCCGTTCAGCACCCACAGCCCTCTAGCGTTGTATCGTTTGGGAACCGCTGATAGAATTCAATGATTACTGTTGACATTACAGGTCAAAAGTCACGCGCGGCTTCCTTTATATTTTAGGTTTCCCCCTGCATGGCTTATCGAAGTAACGGCGCCGACAATTGGGCATTTGTTTACACTTGATTGCACATGTTTGAACTGCAGTTCTATTTTATGTTCAAGTTAGATTTTATCGGAAGACACGTTGTATATTTCCATTGGTATTAGTTTGAGTGACGGAGGACTTGGCCGAGTGCTGTTACAACGATGCCGTATCTTTCCAGATTTGACTTCTTGGTAAAGTAAGACGATTATACTCTCCGTTTTCACCAGGACAGTCCCACTTTTAGGTGTACCCCAGCCGTCTGGTCGATAAACAGGGGAGGAAAAAAACCGAACTGTTCCGTAATCTAGGATTTAGCTGAGTTGGAGCTGTTCACGTTTCCAGGCCTATCTACACATTTTCTCAACGAAAACTCTCTGTGTGACCTAGGTTGAGGCTGTGGATAGGTTTTTTTTTGGGGTTAGGGCCAGTTCTAGATGTTCTGGGGTTGTTGAAAGCTGGTTTTTTTTTTTTTTTTTGGGGGGGAGGGGGGGGAGGGGGGAGATATGGCCAGTTCTAGATGTTCTGTGGTCGTTGAAAGCTGTGAACACGAGTCATCGGCGCTGATGTAATTGGAGGAAATACAACGTATCACTCCCCCCCCCCCCCCGACGTAGAAGAGTGTGAGAAAGTATGAATGGGAGGTTATGGAGTGTTGATAGACCGGCAAACGTGAACAGGACCGAGAACATCTTTTAAAAAAAATGAAATTTGATACTTTCAATACCTCAGATGGGTTGATGGGAAGTTTCACTGTAACGCGTTCTTTACTGCAGTTTAAAAAACGCATTGCTTCGTTTGTGTGTGTGTGTGTGTGTGTGTTTGTGTCTGAGTGTATGTGTGTGTGTGATCTAGAAAAAAAATTTTCAGGGATTAAAACAGTCGTCTCTAGCCTTTATCAGATCGCGCTCTCCTGAGTAATTGACAAGACTCCCACACCCTCTGATTATATGACAAGAGCCCTGCACCCCCTGAATGTTTGACAAGACCCCTGCACCCCCTTAATTTTTGACAAGACCCCTGCACACTCTAAATGTTTGACAAGACCCCTGCACCCCTTTAATTTTTGACAAGACCCCTGCACCCTTTAAATGTTTGACAAGACCCCTGCACCCCCTTTCATATATGACAAGACACCTGCACCCCCTTTCATATATGACAAGACCCCTGCATCCCCTGAATATATGACAAGACCCCTGCACCCCCTGAATGTTTGACAAGACCCTGCACCCCCTGAATATATGACAAGACCCCTGCACCCCATAAATATTTCACAAGACCCCTGCACCCCTTAATTTTTGACAAGACCCCTGCACTCCCTGAATATATGACAAGACTCCTGCAACCCCTAAATGTTTCACAAGACCCTTGCACCCCCTATTTATATGAAAAGACCCCTGCACCCCCTGAATAGACGACAAGACCCATGCAACCCCCCCCCCCCCCTTTTACGGCCTCCCGCCCCGCAACAAAACAAAATATGAGTAAAAAGGGGAGGACAATAGATTCTATAACAATCTGGTCAGTATGTGTTTCTAATCTGTAATTTATTCCGTGTCTTATCATATTTGTTAGATTGTCAACAGTAGATGTACAAACTGCTCGTGCAAACAAAAAATGCCCGTATACTTTTGTTTAATAACTGAAAAATTTGTCATTTATAATGAAACTAATTCAGAATGTAAGTATGACGGATTATTACAAGTACAAATGTAATTACTTTTAAAATGCCTAATGTTTTACGTAAATCTTCTTGCGCCAATCGCCCCCCCCCCCCGAAGGGGCGCCCTCTCAGTTGGAGACCAGAGGTCTAGAAGGACGGGAAAATACTAAAATTATCAGTTGTATCATTATTTGTGTTTTTGTATGCTGATGAAAGCTTTTTAGCTTAAACGTTTGTTTTGCCGTTTATGATTGTGTTTTATTAAGAAGTTGACAAGTTATACTTCTAATCTGAGACAGTTTTTATCAAATAACATGAATACAAGCAACAAAGCAATAAATGACGTCATCATTGTTCCAACAGAAGACACTATGTTGCGGATCGACATGGAAGACTGGAACGGGAAAAGGTACTACGCCATCTACGACTACTTCCGGGTAGACGGACCCGACGACAACTACCGCCTACACGTGTCTGGTTACCACGGCAACGCCGGGAATTCCATGACGTCACTATGGGAAAACCACGATGGAATGCCCTTCAGCACCAAGGACAAGGACAATGACGGGCGGTAAGTTGGTTTCTGTCTCTCCTGGAGTTGATTCTTTTGTAGCAGTTTTCTGTTTAATTAAACCAATGAGGAACAGATGAAAACGCTGCAGGGGTCACACGCTGAGAAAAATACACCTGATAATAGTATGACTTAAATGTTTTTGGCAGTGGAACCCACAGGGGCATAGAAATAAAAGCAGATAAAGGATAAAAGAGTACAACATGTGCAGAATAAAGCTAGAGAGTGAAGAAAAAAAAATGAGGGGACATAAGGGGATTAGCGTGAGTTAGCAAGGACAGGACGACTTGGCGTGAGTTAGCAAGGACATGACGACTTAGCGTGAGTTAGCAAGGACAGGACGACTTGGCGTAAGTTGTTTGATGTCCTATGAACCCTTGGAAATAAAGGAACAAAGTAGTAGTACTAGTGGTGGTGGCAGTAGAAAAAAAAAGATGAAGAGAAGGAATAGAAGAAGAAGAAGAAGAAGAAGAAGAAGAAGAAGAAGAAGAAGAAGAAGAAGAAGTAGAAGAAGAAGAAGAAGAAGAAGAAGAAGAAGAAGAAGAAGAAGAAGAAGAGAAGAAGAAGAAGAAAAGCAAAAAGAAAAAGGGAAGAAGAAAAAGGAGGAAGAAGAAGAAAAAGATAAAGAAGAAGAGGAGAAGGAAGAGGTGGAAAAAAAAGAAAGTGAACTGTGGCTGTATCTTATAACATATGCTATCATGGTTATGTTCTGCCTGCAACTCTTGTTTAAAGTGAGTGTTTGAATCTCTCACTTTGTAGGCTAAAACACATAATTAAAGCATCACAAAAAGACAGTCATCATTTTTGTGGTATGTTATGAGAACAAAGAAACTGGAACATGTTGTGACCACTTGAAAGATTTCTAGAAGGACAGACAGAGGAAGACAATGTGAGAAGATTCTCGAACACACTTGTGTCATGGCATGGAGGGCTGTCTACACAGGAACCCATTCACGCATTTGCTGATTGCAGATTGTGGAGAGGCATAATATGCCAACGCAGTGGGCATGGCATTTCATAATATATATATATGTGTGTGTGTGTGTGTGTGTGTTCATGTATGCGTGTGTGTGCGTGTGTGTAAACAGAAATAAATACCCAATAAAGTAAATAACAAGTAAAGGACTTGTGTGGTATAAGGTCATCCACTGCTTTAGACCATCAGGCACTCAATGGATGATGTAGTCAATATCACGCTGGCCGACTTGACTTCCCAGGATATTACCTGGTTACCATTTTCAGCTGAGTCAACCCTAGTAGCTATAAAATTGAACAAAATATTTTCCTGGATTCATATTTGAACTCTAGACTTTCTTGCAGGGAGGCTCCAGAAACTGTAGGGCTTTTAAGCCCAGATCAGTTGCCATCAAGTTCTGGAGTTTGTTTCCTGTCTCAAATGTCCATGAAATATCAACCGGCTTTTGTCAAAATTCTCTGATAACTTTAACTCTTTGAGTCCCAAGGAACGCATCATACGTTCATAGGTTCCTACCTAGAAGCCCAATAAACGCATGATGCGTCGATTTTAGGACTCTCTTGACTACCCCCTGCTACTGTGATGCTAGACCCCCTGGGACGCAAAGAGTTAAGGCCCTTATTTGTCAGGACATTACAGCATCATCCATACTATTCTTTGCATTCTGTTGTAGAGTGTCACCTTTGTGATCTACACACCTTATTCTTGTGTTGCTGTACTTGTTCTTTTTCAACATTCCGAGCCCTTGAGGTTCATTGCTGCAGATATCCCCCACCTTCATTCATCTCTCTGGTTGGCCTTCTCTTTCCAGTTGGTGACACCAAATGTTTGTAGGTCTGTGTCGACATTATCTCTCCATCGCCTTCTTGGTCTCCCCCGTGTATACAGTTTTTACCTCTCTGTCATCTGACATTCTCTCAATATGCCCCAGCCATTTCAGTCTATTAGCTCTCATGATGCCAGTGATCAATGGTGATTTAAACAGATTATGTGTTACGTTATTGCTTCTCACTCTCCATTCCCTGCTATTTACATCTTTTCTAGGTCCAAAGATTCATCGTAAGGCTCTAATTTCTAAAAGTGGTAATAGGTCCTAACATCAGATATGTTTCTGCACTAACCCTGCAAGAATACTATCTCCTTTAATTGTGTCATCTGTATGTTCACCTTCGATTCCACAGCTTCTATGACTCATGTGCCGGCAACCACCACGGAGCTTGGTGGTTCAACAACTGTTTCGAAGCCCACCTCAACGGCAAATACTATCACAAAGGCTTCCACAAGGACTACTTCCAGAGGGATGGCATCCAGTGGAACACCATCCACATGTACTCATCACTCAAGGCCACCCAGATGATGGTCAAGCCTACCGACAACCCCAGGAGCAACACATCCAACGAGGTCACGGCAGATGTGTAACGGTTGTTACCAAGTTGTAACTGTAACCACTAAGATCATCCGGCAGCCATTTTACCACTGAAGTATATAACATTGAGACATACAATTGTTTCTTGTTGTCAATTGTTTAAACAAATTTAAAAAAAAAATACTATTTTAGTAAGGAACTGTGTGTCACATATTCTAGTCCATGCCATGTAGTTAGTCTATCCACAATCTTCTGTCTCATGTACTTTTCATCACATCCGAAATAGATGAACATCCATAGTCCATACCATGAGACTTTGGTAGTCATATCTATCCACAATCTTCTGTCTCATGTACTTTTAATTATTTCTAACACAGATGATCTTCCATAGTTCATAGTCCACCTATCCACAATCTTCTGTCACATGTACTTTTAATTATTTCTAACACAGATGATCTTCCATAGTTCATAGTCCACCTATCCACAATCTTCTGTCTCATGTACTTTTCATCACATCCGAAATAGATGAACATCCATAGTCCATACCATGAGACTTTGGTAGTCATATCTATCCACAATCTTCTGTCTCATGTACTTTTAATTATTTCTAACACAGATGATCTTCCATAGTTCATAGTCCACCTATCCACAATCTTCTGTCTCATGTACTTTTAATTATTTCTAACACAGATGATCTTCCATAGTTCATTGTCCACCTATCCACAATCTTCTGTCTCATGTACTTTTCATCACTAGACTGAACTGACACTGAATAAATTGCCTTATCACTAATATTTGTTTCTTGTTGTACCAGCTGACTTTGTTATCATTGTAGGCTTTGTTTGCATTAGGTAAATATCAGAGCTATCCTTCATCAAAGTTTGACTCTAACAACCACTGAACAAAATCTGTTTGTAACTTTCTTTGTCTACCTTCTGATAAATGCATGTTTTAGTTAAATATGACAAGATATTTATATGAAAGCAATATGGATTCATAAAACAGGATATCGAAATAAAACATGGTGAACACAGGTTGCTGCTAATACAACATCATGAAATCTGAACTGTTTCAGTCCCAAAGCAATGATGCATTGAATCCCAATCATTGTACAATATTTTGTAGATTTTTTCACATTTAACCACAGCACACTACAGAAATCTGTCACAGCACACTACAGAAATCTGTCACAGCACACTACAGAAATCTGTCACAGCACACTACAGAAATCTGTCACAGCACACTACAGAAATCTGTCTCAGCACACTACAGAAATCTGTCTCAGCACACTACAGAAATCTGTCACAGCACACTACAGAAATCTGTCTCAGCACACTACAGAAATCTGTCTCAGCACACTACAAAAATCTGTCTCAGCACACTACAGAAATCTGTCTCAGCACACTACAGAAATCTGTCACAGCACACTACAGAAATCTGTCACAGCACACTACAGAAATCTGTCACAGCACACTACAGAAATCTGTCACAGTACACTACAGAAATCTGTCACAGTACACTACAGAAATCTGTCTCAGTACACTACAGAAATCTGTCACAGCACACTACAGAAATCTGTCTCAGCACACTACAGAAATCTGTCACAGCACACTACAGAAATCTGTCTCAGCACACTACAGAAATCTGTCACAGCACACTACAGAAATCTGTCACAGCACACTACTGAAATCTGTCTCAGTACACTACAGAAATCTGTCACAGCACACTACAGAAATCTGTCACAGTACACTACAGAAATCTGTCACAGCACACTACAGAAATCTGTCTCAGCACACTACAGAAATCTGTCACAGCACACTACAGAAATCTGTCACAGCACACTACAGAAATCTGTCACAGCACACTACAGAAATCTGTCTCAGTACACTACAGAAATCTGTCTCAGCACACTACAGAAATCTGTCACAGCACACTACAGAAATCTGTCTCAGCACACTACAGAAATCTGTCACAGCACACTACAGAAATCTGTCATAGTACACTACAGAAATCTGTCACAGCACACTACAGAAATCTGTCTCAGCACACTACAGAAATCTGTCACAGCACACTACAGAAATCTGTCACAGTACACTACAGAAATCTGTCACAGCACACTACAGAAATCTGTCTCAGCACACTACAGAAATCTGTCACAGCACACTACAGAAATCTGTCACAGCACACTACAGAAATCTGTCACAGCACACTACAGAAATCTGTCACAGCACACTACAGAAATCTGTCTCAGCACACTACAGAAATCTGTCACAGCACACTACAGAAATCTGTCACAGCACACTACAGAAATCTGTCACAGTACACTACAGAAATCTGTCACAGCACACTACAGAAATCTGTCACAGCACACTACAGAAATCTGTCTCAGCACACTACAGAAATCTGTCTCAGCACACTACAGAAATCTGTCTCCAAGTGTTCACTATTTCCACTCATGGATATATGTGAAAAATATTGGGGGGTGAGGGGGTGGTGGGGGGGGGGGGTTGTGTTGTTAGTTATTTTCACACACCCATCCACACAGAAAACATTCTTATCTACACACAGGAGATTATTGCTGATCATACACCCTGTTGGTAAACGTAGGCATTCATTATTTCCTGTGCCATATGATCACAGGAATTATGAAATAGGTCAGTGTTCTTGCTCTGCACATTGAAACACAATAGAATTTGTATCTCTGTGTCTTTTGCTTTATCTTGTCTTATAAAGTTTGTCAGTTGTTACAGTTTCTGAAAGATTATTCTACTTATAAAATATGCCAAATATTTTGAAAGTGTACATCTGATTCCTGCAGTCAGTCTAGAGATGTTATCTATCTTGAGGATAACTGTAAATGGCCTTGCTTTTCCTTGTATGTTTCAGAGAAATGACATTTCAGCTGTCATTACATAGATTTCAGATAGTCTACGTATTGTCCATGTTTCACATGCATACAACAGCACAGATCCTGACACCCTCCCCCCCCCCCTCCCCCTCCCTTCAATCCAGTCTCTTCGCCGAAGTAACTTAAAGAAAAGAAGAAAATATTACAATCCAAAAATATAACAGAAACTTAAAAAAAATATTCTTCAATCATATTAGGGAGCGCAGTGACTAGCACACTTTCCTGATTCTCAGTTGTTTTAAGTTCAAATCCTTTTTGGACATGCTCACCCGAGTGTACTGCAGGTTATACATGGCTCCTGTAGCTATAACAGGTACCATAATTATAACTTTGTTTGAAGGTTGAATAGGGTATCTCGGGTCTGATTTCAATCCTTTTTGAGATAGGTAGTGTTACTAACTGATCCCTCTTCAGATGCTGTTTAATGTATTAAAACTTTAGGGTTAGCAAATTATCTGACAGTATTTGCAAATGTATCGACTTTGAACTCATCGCTGTTTTTTTATTAATCTCTAGACATAACTCCTGCAAGGGAAGTAATCAATGTTAAAAATGTGTACCAAATAAGAGTGTAAACTATGAAAAATAACTATGAAGACTGAGATTATTCACTGACAGTAAACAAGAATCTGGCATGTAATTAATGTACATATATATTTGAAATATAATCATGTAAGAATACATGTGCAATTGGCCTAAATTAAGGCCACATAATATTGATGTAATATTTAGTATTAACTATTATCTTGTCACTTCAGTAATAAACTATCACACAGAGCATTGCACTCTTCTGTATAACATAACTACTGCGTCCCATAACATAACTACTGCGTACCATAACATAACTACTGCGTCCCATAACATAACTACTGCGTCCCACTGTCAGGCGCAATTTTGTTGTTGTTTTAAAGTCCCACCCTGGCTGTTGCCGGGGGCCGTAATATAACCCAACATGTGGGTTGAACAAAGTTTCTGGAACCTGTCCCTGGGTGATCCTTATCTGAATGGTGGCACTTTGTGTCACCAGGTGATTGTTGCTCGGTGTGATGTCCTGTTGAAGTTAAATGTCAGTCACCCGGGCCCTAATATGGTATACAATTTTTCCTTACTTCAAAGCTTCATTCTGGCTGTTGTCAGGGCCCTAATATAACCTAATGGTTAAACAGGGATTCTGGTACTTGCGTCCGGGTGATTCTTGTCCAGTTAGTGACACTTTGTGTCACCGGGTATTTATCAATTATTGTGCGGCCCTGGTGGAGTTGAATGTCACTCATCCTTGCACATGCAACATTGCAGGTGGCACCAGGTCTGGTGTTGCAGTTACGGATGCCCTATTATAACTTCCTTGGAGGTTGAATGGGGTATCTGGTTTTGCTCTGCTAGTCTACCATCGGCACTGAGACTTTTTTTTAGTCTGATCTCAAAGTGTGAAAATGGCACAGGTAGCATCCGGGAGAGGATAAATGGCATGCTATCTTTACCCAGGTGGACATTAATTTTCCATCCAGATGGAACTACAAATTATTCATTTTTAACAGCCAATAAAGTATAATGTAATTAAAAACGAATGTTAAATTCTAACCATGGGGTGTATAGAAGTAAATGTTTTCTATAGGTGAACTGGGTTTCTGAGATTTGCTCCTGTTGGATTCTCAATCAGCGGTTCTTTGAGTCACTGGATGTTAATCTTTAAGTATGGTTGCAAATAAACAAAGAAAACTGCATTCCCACACAGCATGGCAAGAAACACCATGGAAATATTTGGCAGAGCTGTTGCGGAGTTTGGAAAGACTGTCTGGGGCTTTCCCTGGAGTTTTCCAACCATGATGTGACCCAGAGCTCAACCGCGCAGAAGATGGACCACAGAAATATCAAAGACACTGAAAAGTACTATAGACGCAGCGAACAGAAGGGCCGGTTCTAGAGATCTCTTCCTACTCTGACCCCACGAGGCATTGCAGGAGTAGAGAAGAGAAGAAGATATGACTCTTGAAACCACTAAAGGTGGTGAAAGCTTCATGCAGCAGTCCCAAAGGAGAACACAGTCAGTCTCTTGGTATGTCCTCACACTGTGCCTGTACAAGAGCGCAGGTTATAACAGGGTAGTGTTTAATGTGGACATCACTGCTGTTGTAATTACCTACA